AACTGTTCATCCAATAAAACCGTTCCCGAATTCGCTGAAGGGTCTTCTTCACACCAAAATGCCCTCCTGATGGACTGTCGTGTAACTGACGAAGTACTTCGGCTATTCTGCTCTTTGGAATCACCAACTGTCTTCTCTTCTCTGAACCGTCATCATTTTCCAGGACTCGTTTGAGCAAGCCATCTTCCATGATAAATGAGTCCCACTGGGCCCAATACGTCTTCACTACTGAGCCTAGGTTCGATATTTCTTGCCAAGGTGGTCGACGGTTTTCCTCTTTCCATTTTCGGATTTTCTGTATAACTGAATCTCTCTCTTGTTCTTCCCTGATCTTGGTAGGCGTCCAGTCGTCGTGGACCACCGTCGTTCTTAGCACTGCTGCTTCCTTGGATTCCGTTTTGTTGCAGTGAGAACACTCTGCTGGGCATGGCCTTCTGGAAAGAGAATCAGCGTTTCGGTGGCTAACTCCGGCCCGGTGCTCAATCTTAAAATCATATTCTTGGAGTCGTTCGATCCACCTGGCTATCTGACCCTCTGGATTCTTAAACTGCATCAACCATTTAAGGGCGGCATGGTCGGTTCGGATTAAAAACTTCCTTCCATAGAGGTATTGATAGAAGTGCTCTACTGATTTCACTACTGCCAGAAGTTCTCTTCTCGTGACGCAATAATTTCGCTCAGTTTTGAGAGAACTTTACTAAAATATCCAAGGACTCTTTCCTGTCCTCCTTGAATCTGAGACAGCACTCCTCCAATTCCCACATTACTTGCATCTGTATCTAAGATGAACTCTCCTTCTGGCAGTGGATACCCTAAAATGGGTGCTGTGATTAAATGCTTTTTTAAGGTTTCAAAGGCATTCTGGCAGTCTACATCCCAGCGGTATTCTCTTGCTTCCTCTGTAAGTCGCGTTAATGGTTTAGCGATATCTGCAAACTTCTTAATAAACCTCCGGTAGTAAGTACACAGTCCCAGAAAACTTCTCACTTGGTGTTTGTCAGTTGGTTTTGGCCATTCCTTAATAGAATCGATTTTTCCCTTATCCACGGCCACTCCTTCTTTACTGACTATATGACCCAGATAATTGACTTTACCTTGATAATAGCTGGCACTTCTTGGGGTTTAACATCAATTGGGCAGCTTTAAGTCGATTAAAAACGTTTTCTAAATTCTTCAGATGGTCCTCAAATGTCTCCCCAAGACGATTATGTCGTCTAGATAAACTAGGCACGTTTTCCAAGATAACCCTCTCAACACATTTTCCATAAGTCTCTCAAATGTCGCAGGAGCGTTACAAAGTCCAAATGGCATAACGTTGAATTGCCATAATCCAGATCCTGTGGTGAAGGCTGTCTTTTCTTTATCTACCGGGTCCATTTCTACCTGCCAGTATCCAGACTTCAAATCCAAAGTAGAAAATAATTTACTTCCAGCCAATGTGTCTAATGTGTCATCAATCCGAGGCAGAGGATAACTATCTTTCTTGGTAACGTTGTTCAGCAAACGGTAATCCACACAGAACCTCGTTGTTCCGTCTTTCTTCTTAACCAGGACTACCGGAGAGACCCATGGGCTCGTAGAAGGTTCTATCACCCCGTCTTTCTTCATTTCCTGAACAATCGTTTCAGCTTCCTCTCTTTTCGCCTGTGGTAATCGTCGAGCTGTTTGACGAATTGGCTTAGCATTACCAGTATCAATTCTATGCTTAACAACGGTAGTTCTTCCCGTCTTTCCTCCTTTCGGTACGAAAATATCACGATACTGCCGAAGAAATTCCCTTAATTTCCTTTTCTCAATCTGATTCAGAGACTGTCCAGCAACTGCAACCATTTGATCAAATTTGTCGTTGGAATTATCAGACGTTGTCGTCTGACGGATTATGGATGTCACAGGTACACAAGTTCCTACTTTTGTCTCTTTCTTGATGGTCACTGGGTAGTCATTGACATTGATAAGTCTAACAGGAATTTCTTTAGCCGAGGTCACCAATTCCTTTCCAATTATGATTCCACGGCCAACTTCGTCGTCATGGTTCCAAGGCTCCATCATAACAGGTGACCCTCCGTCCACAATTCCCTGTAGCCGCGCTACTATGATTGTTTCACTTCTCGCAGGCACGACTGTATCTTCTTTAACGGCTGCTTGCATAGTGTTGTCATCATGTGGATGGAGAAATACCTCCTCGTTACCAACTTTGATTATCTTATTCTTAAAATCCAATTGGAATCCATGCGTATTCATTACGTCCATTCCTAATATAACATCCTCTTCGATGTCAGCAACTATAACAGTATGGACGAACTTTTCTGCTCCAATTCCTAATTGTACCTGGATTTCTCCATGAATGTTGGCATTTTCCCCTGTGGCGGTCCGAAGTCGCAACCTCGTTGGTAACAGTTTCTTTCGGCTGTTTATAACTGTCGGGCGTATAATGGTTCTGGTCGCTCCAGTATCCACCAACAACGTATGCTTTTTTACCATTTATTTCTCCATCTACATATACACTATCTTCACGACATTTCAAAGAAGCTATTAGTATCAGAGGGTCTTTGGTAAAGTTCTGGGTCGAAGCTGCTCCCCTAAGGCCGACGCGTTCTGGTTTTGTCTTCGGTCTTATGGTCTTCGTTTTCTTGTGTGTCATGCTTTTTATCATATTAAAGAGCTGGTCAAGTTTATCTTCATCTCCTTCCTCTTTTACAGTCCTAACTTTGCTATACCCGCCAGAGGCCTGCGTAGCTGACTCGTATTCGAGGGCGGCAGATAAGACATCCATCAGCGTCTTGTGACGAGCTAATCGTAGTGTTCTCTGCATCTCATGATCACGAAGACCATCAATAAACGTTTGAACGGCCAATTTTTCCATCATGTCTTCGGGAGCTGTTGGATAAGCATATCGCACTAATCTGGCGATATCTACTTCATATTCTTGAAGAGCCTCATCTTTATTTTGTCTTCGATTTTTGAGCTGCGACTGATATACATGCTCCAAGTGTTCGTGGCCATATCGCATATTTAACCTCTTCTTCAGTTGTTCGAAATCATCCGTCTCCTCTACGGCTATGGTCTGGAGCACATCTAAGGCATCTCCTCGAAGAGCGATAGTCAGGTTTACAGCCTTTTCTTTTTCAGACCATCCATTCGCTCTTGCAGCTGATTCGAACTGTTTCATGTAGTTGTTCCATGATGATTTTCCGTCGAAAGTTGGAACCTTGACATGAACATAACCTCCGCTTCCTTCAAAATTTCGGCTGTGTTTCTAACTTACATTTCGTCTCGTCTTCTTGTCTCTCTATGGTAATTGGATTGTTTACTCTCTCTGTTGTGTCTGTTCCCTCAATCTTCCTTTCCAACTCTTTCCATATCTTCTCTTCGAAGGCCATCATATCGGCAGCAACTTGGTTTTTTAATGAAGACACTCTATCGTCGAGGGCAGACATCTCAGAGGTGACTTTAGAGATGTTAACAGAAACCTTGCTTTCCAGAGAAGCAATCTCGTTAGAAACTTTGCTTTCTAAGGATGAGATCTCGTTAGAAACTTTATTCTCCAATGATGCGATATCACAGGAAACCTTGTTAATCGATGAGATGACAGCATCTTCCAATATATAAGTTTCCGGATCTAAACCTTCTTCTTCCAAAGCCTTCTTTAGTCGTTGGACTAACTCAGCTTTTTTTCCGGTAGAAGCTAATTCTCTATCCTCAAGATGCCTTCTTAGATTCGTAACTGTGAGCTCGTAAATCGTAGCCATTGTTCACCAATTTCACTTCTTTTCAAAAATTCAAATTAAATTTATCTACAGTCCCACTTCTGCACCACTGTTGAGTTTATATAGTTCTAATTTATTTGTCTTTATTCTAATTTATTGTCTATATTCTAATTTATTAAAACTCACGATAACTAATTACGAATTTATTAAAGTCTTTATTAATCCTAATTACAAATAATTTATTAACGTTTCGTTACATCTAAATATCGCGGTTCGCGAGCTTCTTATAACTGCCTGCCAAATAAAAATCTTTCATTTATATACACAACTGTGTCATCTAGAGAATTCGACGGACTTCTTGAATAGTCTCGTATTTTGGTGAAGGCGCTCGACTCGTTTTTCAACCTCGAGACGTGGATGACTCACCAAAATTAGTGTCTAGAGATTTCTGGTAAACAACTGGTAGCTAAGCTCAGGTATATTTTGACCTACAAATTACGAGAATCAATAAAAAAGAATTAGTCATAAAATATTTACAGTTCTATATGCCATAACATTTAAAATCGTAACAGTACTGATAAAATAATTTCTCGAACTTGATCAGTAGGGTTTTCACGTTCCATTATCATATTCTACTCGTAATAAAACTGACAGTTGTCTTTATTCATGCTCAAATGAGCCATGGCAATTATTGTTGACAACGCACTACCTACTCGTTTGTTTGATTTCAAAGCCTTCTTTGTGTCAGGCTGAATTTAAGAAACGCGTGAAAAAGCAAAAAATGTTCCAACATTTAGTTGTCAGCAGTTTTTGATTATCAAACAATTAATTTCATAGTATTCAATATAAAATATACAATTAAGCCGCAAAAATAATTCCATACATCATAAAAAATGTTGTTAATTTCCTATGTACAATTTAAAATAAAATAAATAAAAGAATTTCGGTAAATTGGCATTATATTCGCAAAATATCTGCTTGTTCCAACATATAGTAGTTGTTAGGGCTCGTATTTGTATTTGATTTGTAGAAATTTGTCATTATTATCTAGATTACTATAAGGAATTTAGTTTTCATTGAATTTATTATTATGGAAGGATACATTTAAACAAAAATTTTAATTCTTCTTATTTGTTTCAGCTTGTGTAACTAAGAACCTCAAAATTTAGAATAGAAAATTTGAAGTAACAAGTATCTAGCGCAACTACGGGCCTTGCAAAAATTATGAGCATTACAGCACAATACGCACCCAGCACGCATTGAAGACATCTGAGGATTTTTATTTAATTTTTCATACGTTTCATACAAAATTTGAGTGACTGTGAGTTGTTATTTATTTTATATATCATTGGATTGTCTTTTCACTTGATATATTGTGAACTTGTTGGTAATTAAGTATAATTATTGTATACTGTGAACGAAATAATTTTGAAGTGGGTAATATTTTGATTCGGCTGCCATAATTGACTTTTGGGTGTATTTATTAAATAAATACCGATTTTAACCGTTCTGTGATATTCACTACACTTAAGAAGCGATAAAGTGCGAAAAATAAGGAAAAATCATTGTACCAAATATGTCCACGAATCCTCAGTGGAAGACGTTCCAGCCGCCCCCTGACACTCTCACTCAGGATACAAGCATCATGGATTTTAAATCAATGACCAGTACCGGTAAGTAAGATTGTGCTCCTTCATCTTATGTGATTTCTTGCATTTATTGAGTTTTTATAGTTATAAATATAATATGGCAACTCACGTTAAACACCAAAGTATAGACGGTGCTCACGGTCTGTGGATAAATATTTTCGTTCTTATTTTTAGTCCAGATCTTGCGCACCAGGTTGTCTCACACTTTCTGTAATGCATAAATAATATATTGCTAAAAGTATTACATATGATATTCTATTATATTTACTTCTTAAAATTATTTGCATGGGTATCAAAAAAACACTTAAAGCATATAAACATAGTTGAGAGTAGCCTTAACAACATATTTGTATTTTTTTTTCACTGAGATCATATTCTAAGCATATAAACATAGTTGAGAGTAGCCTTAACAACATATTTGTATTTTTTTTTCACTGAGATCATATTCTTCTAATCAGTGGCGGCTCGTGGCTTGAGAGACAAGGTCGGCAAGGTATTTTTTTGTCTCCTCAGATAAGTATACCGTCTAATAAAGACTTCAATCATCATAGAAGATTTTTTGTTTTCTTGTTTTTGTTTTTTTTTTTTTTGTTTTTTCCTATAGATTTAGAACCTAAACATGTTTATAAATTAACTCTAGTCTACGTTGATTGGAAGTAACAAAATGGGTAATAACGTCATCGTAAAATTTATTAGAGTTTTGGAGAGATTTTAAAAGTTTTTTTTCTATTGACATTTGAGACAAGCTTGACATTCTCTATTGTTTCATGGTATTTTGACAATAAGTTTTGATTGTTTTGAGGCAAGAGAAATCTCGTTCATTTGAGGCAGACGTTGGTGGTAATGAGAGAATTAATGACAATAATTTATTAATTTCGGTAAACAGTTTGTTGTAATGAATTGCAGTATATAAAATTATACATATCTTGTAACTTATCCCATCTTCCGAAAACATTTGGATTAGCATATAAAACTTTTAATTCATTTTCTAATTTTATTTTATTAAAGAATGATGGATAATTTTTTAATTAACCTGTCTAATAAATATCTTGGAAATTCTTTGTCGTAACTTTTAAATTTTGAATCGTCAAAGAGGTCAAAAATTTGCAAATCTTAAAAATTCGAAAAACGAGTATCTATTTGCATAATAATAGTATCCAAAATCTCAAAATATACTTGTTTTTCGAGATCTGTTTCTGTGTCATGCCTTTTGTCTTTTTTTGGGGGGGGGGGGGGTTCGAAATATCAAACGAGTCCAAAACGTCACTGCGTATATACTGGAAATTACTATCATTACGAAAATCTCTGAGATTTTACACCAGTCTTGTTATTCTATTTTTGGAATGAATTAATGTCAGTTAACTGAGTTTGAACAATATTGAATATCAAATCGGTTTGGGTAAACACTTTATTAAAAATATTTAAAAGTATGTTAAAAGAGTAATCATTTAATAAAGTTTTTCAAACCGATTGCTTCACGGATCGAGATATCATCACTTTTAAAATCGTCACATTCAATAATAAAATCAAAAACTTCCAAAAGCTGTTCACGAAAAATCTACTGCGGTGAAAACTAACCGAGATTTAAAATTCCATCGCGTCTGACAAACTGTTGGCATTTTTTTCGAACAAACCGTTCTAAACATTAGTCCGTTTAGGCGAGCTTGAGAAAAATGAAGCAAATCCGCTTAAACTGGCAAAAAAAAAGTTATTCTTTAATTTTTTACATGTATCTTGCAAAACTAAATTCATTCTATGCGCATGACAATGAGCAAATAAAGCTTGCGGTGCAATAGTTTTAACTTTTTCTTGGAGACCTTTAATTCACCAGACATCACTGCAGCGCCGTCATAAGTTTGCCCTACCAATTTATTTTTGATATCAAAAAATGTTAAAGTGTCCTTTAAAACACCAAAAATATGTTCTGCCTTATGGCTTTTACTCACGTCTGTAAAACCTAAAAACCTCTCATAGATATTACCACGTAACGCGTATCGAACAACAATTGATAATTGTGAATGACATGATATGTCGGTAGTTTCATCTACTTCTAGTGAAAAGCAAATGGTTTCCTGAATCTCAGATTCAATAACGTTACTCAAAATGTAACTAATTGATTCTATTAATTCATTCTGGATTTTTTTAGATACACTGCTAAATGTGTTCGAATCAGAAAGTAAATTAGAAAATTTACAAATCGTATTTCTTAAACATTTTTTATTAGTTCTCTATAATTACCTTGATTTAACGAATGCTCCGATTCATCTTGTCCCCTAAAAGATAATTCCTGACAACTTGAAAAAATTACAATATTAATTAAACGACGTAAAACTGCGTGATTATTTTTTACGATTTCGTTATGTTTAATAGCATTTTCACGTTGGGCATTATCTAATGAAACATAGATATTTTGTTTTCCAAATAAATCTAACTTAATCTGGCTGTAAGTATGATCTTTCGAAATATCATGTTTATGTAAAGCCCTAAATAATTCCTTTAAATTATCGTAACTAGATCCACACCACGGACTTTGATGTTTGCCGTATTTGTCGAAAATAAATGCAAGGTCAACAGAAAAGTTTGTTTTTTATTTCACTCCCGGTAAGCCATGAGTACTTGCTGTACCAATTATATGAAAATGATCTATTACTTCCTTACCCGCACTAATATTAATAAGCCGGGACATTTTAGGCAAAGGACGCCCTTTATTTTTAATAACAATTTGTTCTTCGTATGGAATAGATGAAAACCCAAATTTACAAAATATATATTATACAAATGCAAATTTGCAATATATTATGCAAAAAATAATTTACAATATCAGACTTATCAATACTTACAGTTTCTCCCATGGCTTGCATTTTTTAGGTTAATTCACCTGAATTTGTTTACACTTTAATTAAAAAAAACTTCTAATATGTCAAAAAACGAAAAAACCCTTTAACCTTTAACTATTTACAGCAGACCCACCGTATCACAGTATTACTTTAGAAAATAAAAATAAATCACAAAAAGAAAGGCTAGTTCGTGCACTGAATATCACTTCACTTTATATATGAAATAACATTTCGTCTCAGGCTCGCAATGTACAGTTCGCGACCAATCACCAATCCAAATGAAACATCGGCAAATTTAAATTTGCCGCACTTGGTAATTAAGTTCATATGGAAAGAAATGTATATTTGGTTGCTAATCAACCAATATTCCGTTGATTTTTTACAAGTAAAGTCAAGGTTGGGATCGGCTAGCCGAAAAACAAAACGTGCCTTTTTAAGAATTCATATTCGGATGGATGTCTCCGAGTCTCCGATATCGAATCATCTATTTGAAAAGTGTCTACGCAGGGATCACTTAACGCTCAGATTGACGAATTCTTTAAAAACCATGAATAAAATTTAGTCTGGTCGAATTCTTTTAAAAAACCATGAATCAAATTTAGTCTTTATTATCTCACAGATATTTTTTTAGTTCACAAAAACAAATGACATCAACTGATTACCTGCCACAATTATTTATTGAAATACTGATTAAATTAAATATTAATTTTAAATACCGAAAGTTGCACAATGGTATTGTAAATCCTGATTTTTCGTATGCCTGGATATTAACTTAGACTTGATCATTCTGTTTAGTGCTCATACAGCTTTACTTCCTTTATTAATTATTTTTCTATTTCACTATATTCGGCTCTATTGTAATGGTCACTCCAAGGTATTCGAATTGATCCACTTTTTCGAATCAATATTCTGTAATTCCGCTACTTATTCTGCGTTCCATACTTTTTTTCAATTATTTTAGGTTCGGTCTTTGTATTTTTTTGGCTCTGGTACTCAGTTGTTCACATTAACTGCTATCAGAATGTATAGTTTTTTTTTGTCTCGTTACTTAGCATATCCGTGTTCGGTTTTTTAAGACTCTTTTTTTTAACCGAACTTATATCTATGTGGGTGTGTGAAGTTGTGATATACTACGGGGTTGTGATTTGAGTAAGTTTTTATACTAGGGATACTGATTTCTACGGGCTGATCTTGCTTATAATATGCTGCATTTTGGTAGTTTGAGTGGCATCAGTTTGTTGTTGTCTCCTCTATTAGCGTTTTGTCTTTTCTCTGTCACTATCAGTTGCATTTTTAATGTCTTCACAGAAATATTTTCAACATTTTCCTTGTTTTGTTTTTAGTTTTTATTGTAGGTATTTGTTTTAAACTTACACGATTCGTAATTACCTGAATTCTTCGCCCTATTAAATAGCCGTATTGTGAGTTTTTCTGTTTCAATCAAGTAGCTTGTCTTGTCGAGCCATATTCTATTAGAGCCCAGGTCTCATTATATGAGGCGATATTGCAATTGACTGTCAGCTCTACCTCTAAACCCTAATTGTAGTAACTGGTATAGCCGTAATTAACTCACATTCCCTACCGTGTCTATGTTGCCTTTATTATTTTCTGGCATAGTAGGACAACGAATTTTTTTGGTGCAAGTTGACCTGCATGTTCATATGGATGTTCAGTTCATATTTTTCTCCCGAAACCGGTGAGATTATGTGCCTCCAATGTACCATTCGTTACAGTTCGTATTTTTAAACACGCGGCTGGTTTAGGTACGCCATTACCTTGCGTGTTTTGATGGTCTTTGCAGTTACCTTGCTGCTCTGTGGGTCCTCTGATAGCAGTAGATCCCATTACCACATCAAAGTGGAATATCACAATATAGTACAAACAAGTACTTTATTAGTACTCTCAACTTAGTTTTTTTCTCAAGAATCTGGATGTTCACTTTTGCGTACTATTAGTAACAGACATGGTTGCGGTATGATGATTTTACAGAATGGTAAATACAATTTTCTGCAATTCGTACCATCTTTGTTACAGTACCTAGTTATTGAACAATCATTGTAGGAGGTATTCTTGTTATTTGTTTTTGTTTAGTGAACTTTTGATATAGCTTTCGTTTAAACTTGTTAACTATTTTAATGGCTAATTAACAAACTTTTTAATTGATAGTTTTTAATTTTGCCGATGTAT